GCCCCCAAGAGACGTCCAAGAGTCCTCCAAGACGCCTCCAGAGCCTCCAGGACGCCCCCAGGAGGCCCCACGAGGAAACCGAACGACTCAACCCATGACGAGGGGCCCCAACAACTCGCACCACGAGGAGCCCCAACGACTCACGCACAAGGAGGCGCGCCAACGACTCACACCAGGACGAGGGGCCAAGAGGCCCCACGAGGAGGCCGAGCGACTCCCCCCAGGACGAGGAGCCCCAACGACTCACACCACGAGTAGCCTCAACGACATGCACACAAGGATGGGTCCGAGCGACGCACGCCAGGACGAGCGGCCTGAATGACTCGCACCACGAGGAGCCCGAGCAACTCACACGCAGGGAGGCGCCCAAACGACTCACACCAGGACGAGGGGCCCGAACGACTCCCACCACGAGGAGCCCGAACGACTCGCACCCCAGGAGGGGCCCGAACGACGCACGCCAGAACGAGGGGCCCGAACGACGCACACCGCGCGGAGCCCGAACGACTCACGCACAATGAGGGGCCCGAGCCACTCACGCAAGGAAGGACGAGGCCCCCAAGAGGCCCCCAAGAGGCCCCAAGAGGCCCCCAAGAGGCCCCCAAGAGGCTTCCAAGAAGCCCCAAGACGCCTCTCGAGGCCCCCAAGAGGCTCCCAAGAAACCATAAGGAGGCCCCCAAGAGGCCCCGAGAGCCTCCAAGAGGCCCCCAAGAGGTTCACGAGGAGGCCGAACGACTCACCCCAGGACGAGGGGCCCCAACGACTCACACCACGAGGAGCCCGAACGACTCACACACAAGGAGGGGCCCGAGCGACGGAACACGAGGGACGAGCGGCCCGAAAGAACGACTCTCACACACAAGGAGGAGGCCGAGCGACGCACACGCAAGGGAGGCGCCCCGAACGACTCTCACCAGGACGAGGGGCCCCGCGAACGACTCACACCACCAGGAGCTCCCCGAAGACTCACCACAAGGAGGGGCCCCGAACGACGACACCAGGGACGAGGACGAGGGGCCCGACCGAACGGGAACACCACGCGGAGCCCGAACGACTCACGAAGAAACGAGGGGGCCGAGACAAATTCTTTTACAAGAAAGGTCGAGAGTCCCAACAGGCCCCCACGGGCCCCCAAAGAGGGGCTCCAAGATGCCCCAGACGCCCCCACAAGAGCCCCAAGACGCTTCAAGAGGCCCCAAGAGGACCCATGAGACCCCCAAGAGGCCCTCACGAGGCCCGAGAGCCTCAAGAGGCCCCCAAGAGGCCCCACGAGGAGATCCGAACGCGCGAACGACTCACCCAGGACGAGGAGCCCAACGACTCACACCACGCGGAGCCCGAACGACACACAACCAAGGAGGCGCCCCGTGGCGATTCACACCAGGACGGAGGGAGCACTGTGAACGGACTCACACTACGATGAGCCCGAACGACTCCACACCCAGGACGAAGACCCTGAACGCTCACACGGTCACCAAGGCCATCGCGACCATAGCCCGCATCGGAGGAGCCACCGATGCCAAGGCAACAGGAACCGGCTAAGGAACCACAACCCAAGAAAAGTTCAATTCCAGGGACATGGCTGAAACGAAACACACGAAGCAGAGGCGGAGGAGGAGGACTGTGAAGAGGACACACATGTTTTGCCATCGAGCGCTACGGTCTCTGCCATGATGCCGTTGAACATCCTCCAGCGATATGTTTACTACATTAGAACTCACCTGACGCGCCACGGAAGCAAAGTAGTTGCACATGAACCATTGGATACATACCGAAGCTCCAGCCATAGATACAGAAAGGACGGACTCCATGGAGACAACATCCACTGTTCAGTCTCACAATACCCAGAGCTGTTCTCTTCTACCAGCGTGACATCCATAGCGGTACGCAAGGGCCTCACCAGTACTGGAGGACAGACTATAAACGAAACGTACTCTTCGCACCAATGATCCAACACTGAGTAGAATAACCAGCACTTTCACCATAACAAGATAACAAACACCATCACAGATGCAGAATCCAGCACCCGCGAACTACAGTACGAGCTTCAGCCGTCTACAATATAAGTGCCACCAGCAAGCTGTTTCCTATAGTAGACCCATACGTGAAGCGTACGTGGACAAGCTGAGGGTAGTACACGTTCCACCAGCAATCTGTTTCCCACAGTACAAGCCACCCGAGGCGCCACGGAAGATGTGTAGTGGCACATCCACCATTGGATGGATACCGAGGGCGTAGCCATGTATACAGGAACCTTCGAGTCCATTGAGGCAACATCCCGTGTTCAGTCTCACTCTACCAAGGGATAGTGTCCCCAGTAACACGTCTGGGCTGACGGCATCCGCGCCGTACTGCATCGTCCCCAGGCTTTGTTCCACCATTCGGGAGTCGGTTGCAACTCGTCCAAGAACTTCCGGTCGTCGGCGGATAATCGCTCGTCTGCCCGCCAAACATGAAGCGAGAGCGCCGGCAACCAACATTCTGCGCGCTCGCTCCCAGGAGCCCCCGTGGCGAGCAAAAGTACAAAAAAACACAGGCGCTTCCCCATGCCTACCGCAAAGATGATGCTAGTAGGCGGAGACTATAACGGGTAGGCGGAGCGAAGCTCACAGCCACACTCCAATACTAGAAGCCAGAATGGCAACGACAACAACGCTGGTCGGGAAAGATCGCTGGTTTCGACGACGACCGCCCTCTGTCTTGCCTCCCAACTCCTTCCCTCCCGCCTCCTCTTCCGACTCCTCCTGCTTCGGACCATGGAATACACGTACAGGCCAACAGACACACGCTTGCACCAAACAACTGTCGGCATGCTTCGCTGGGGTTCCTCGTCGGCGATAGCACTACCACTACTGCGTCTACATTTACTACAACGACTACTACGACTACTACGACGACTCCTACTATTACTACTCCCACTACTACTTCTACTGCTACTACGAGGACTACTACAACTACTGCTGCTACTACTCATACTACTACTGCTGCTCTGCCTCCTAATCTTACTACTACTACTGCGAGCACTACTCCTTCTACCACGACACCTACATCTACTGCCACTGAAACTTGTCGTGTCGCTACTTCCCGCTAACACTACTATACTATTTACCACTAATACTACTACTATACTACTACTACTTACTACTACTACTACCTCTTACTCTTACTACCTACTACTACTACTACTTACTACTTCTACCATACACGGGAAGCGAGAGGAAGGAGGTGGGAACAGGGGAAAATATGCGGAGCCCAGCTGGGACACACGCCTGAACACACCACTGTCGGCATGCTTCACAAGAGGTGCTGCTGTGAGATGAGCTGGTGGGGGTACGCGAAGCGTAAAGAATTCCAACGCAAGAGCGCGATCCTTGAGTAAATTGCAAGCAAGTCTCCAGCGAGAGCGCGACACCAGAGCGCCGAGAGAGCGATTTCTGAATGAATTGTAAGGAAATCCCAATCGAGAGCGCGATTCCAGAGTAAAATGCGAGGACGGCTCAGGCGGGAGCGGGGCTCCTGGCTAAATTGTGAGGTAGTCTCAGGCAGGAGCCGTTTGTTTGTTGTTGTTGTACATCGGGGCCCAACCACACAGTTTGAGCCGAGTTTAGTGACTTTCTCTGATATATAAACAGGGTGCGAGCCGAGCCCCAGGCGGAACATAATAATTGAAGAGCATAAAGTGTACCAGGGGGGGATCAGCAAAACATAGTCTTCAATAATGCGAGCTCAACTTCATCACACAACACCAAACCATAATAACAATAGCAGAAACGCCAACAAACAAACACAAAATCAACAGCATCAACACCACTTCATCAAACACGAAACAATCAGCGCAACCAACATCATCATCACCACCACCATCATCATCATCATCATCATCACCACCACCATCCTTATCATCACCGTCATCAACATCATCATCATCATCGTCGTCCTTGTCGTGATCGTCGTCATCATCAGTAGCATCATCGGAAGCATCATAATCGCCATCATCAGCAGCATCATCATCATGAGAATCGCCATCATCGTCAGCATCAGCATCATCAGCATCAGCATCAACATTAGCATCAGCATCGGCATCATCAGTACCGTCAGGATCGTCATCATCATCATCAGCGGCATCGTCATCATCAACAACAACAGTATCATCATCAGCACCATCATTGTCAGTATCATCATCACCACCAGCATCGTCATATTGCATCCCCAAAGAGTTCTCGCAGTGTCCTGGCCCATCCTGGAGAGGACGAGTCCGACGAAAACAGGAGAAGCAGCAGCAGGGAGACAGGGAGCGATGACGATGACGAGGAGGATGTTGATGATAGTAACGATTTACGATGACGATGCGAAAATGTGCAGAGCTGATGGTTATGGTATTGATTGCCCGTGGCGTTGCTGATGTTGTTGGTAGTGGTAAGATTGACGAAGCTGGTAATGGCGATAATGAGCATCGTGGTTCTGATGATAGTGATGATGGTGATAATGATCCCGATGAGGAGGGCAAAGTGGGGCGAGGAGGGAGATAGAAGGATGGGGAGGGGGAGAAGGAGGGGGCAGACGAGGAGAGAAAGAGGAGTGGGAAGAGAAGGAGGAGAACGACTTCTAGTAGACATCATGCAGACACACCCCGCACAGCTCAATGACCACACAACACGAGATGTAGGAAGAGGGGGAAGAAGGGGAAATAAGACAGGAGGTAGAGGAAGGACAGGATCGATAACCTTTGAAAGGGGGAGGGATGAGTAAAAAGACTAGAAGGAAGACGATAAGGAGGAAAATGGATAGGAAGGGGAGGCGGAGAAACGAGAGGAAGAGGAAGAAGGGGAGAGAGGAGGGGGGAGCGAAAAAGGAGGAGGAGGAGTAGGAGGAGAGGGAGCTGGAAGGAGACAGAAGGGGGAAAGAGGCATGGGGATGGAGGAGAGGAGGGGGAAGAGCGGGAGGAGAGGGACCTCCGCGATCCCCCGCGCCGCGCGCGGGTGTGCGCCGGCGGGGCAGGCCTGGCGGAGCAGGGCCTCCTGGTCGCGTCCTGGCCGCGGCGGCTGCTGCTGCTGCTGCTGACTGCTGCTGCTGCTCCCTCCTCCTCCTCCCTGCCCTACCTCCCTCCCTCCTCCATCCCTCCCTCCTCCTCCTCGCTCCCCTCCTCCTCTCCTCTCCCTCCTCCCTCCTCCCTCCTTCTCATACCCTTCCTCCTCCTCCTCCTCCTCCTCCTCCTCCTCCTCCTCCTCCTCCAGCGTTCGCCCCCCCGACGGCCTCCGGGCCGACGCGGTTTGCCCCCAAGTCCCTGGCCCACCTCTCGGGCGAATGCATGGCCACGATGGCCAGGGTCTTCGAGTGCTGCGAGCGGCCTGGGGGCCTGGCCAGACGCCGGGATCGCGACCGAGCTAGTCCATCTCGGCAAGGCCGACGGCGGCAGGAGGTTCATCGCGCTGTGGCACAGCTTCACTCGTATCTGGACCCGCGCGAGGCTGCGCTTAGGCTTGGCTCGGGAGCAGGACCACTACTCAGACGTTCTGTGGGGGGGGACCGCTCGAGGTTCCGATTGCGCGTACGACCTGCACCTTCACCACGAGATCACCACGCTCCTCGGAGAGCATTGTGTACATCGTCGACTTGATGTAATGGTTCGACAGGCCGACGTGGCCCAGCTAATGTTATGGGGCGGAACAGGTTTGTTTCACGGCGCGACTGGCATGGATGCTCATCTGGCAGCCGCGTTGGATCAGGGTCGGAGCAAGCCTCAACCTTGAAACCACCCTCTACCAGGGTGTGCTGGCGGGCTGCTCGCACGTGCTGGCGCTGCTCTTCGTGCTGACGTGCAGGACCATTCGGCGACTGTCGCAGCTGTGTCCGTCCATCACGCCACGCCAGCTCTTGTGCGACACCACGCTGCACACCGTGGGGTCTGCTAAAGCTGACGCGTCGGACCTGCTTTAGCCGCGCTGGAGTTCTCGAAACGCGTCTTCGGCCTCCGCCTGAGGATCAAGCCGTTCGCCGTCGAGGCGGTTCGCCGTCAAGGCCCGCTCCCTGGGCTGCTCCCGCGGAAATGCATCCCCAACTAGGGCCACGATCTGATGGGCCCGCGGATCAAGCGGGAGCAGGCCGATTCCCGTCTCAGAGCCCCCCAGGCGCGCCGAAGGCGGCTCCGCATCTTGCAGAAAGGGGCAGGGCGCAAGGCAGCGAAACCTTTCGAGCACAGGCCCGTCGCGGGGCGCGGCGCGGGGGTCAACGAAGCCCGCCTGCCCGCCTTGGCGATTCGCGTGAGACCCCCTCGCCACTTGTGGCCCTGAAGCTTGGAAGCTTGAAGCTTGCAAGCTGTTCTCGCCTTAGCGCATGCATTTTCCACAGGCTGTTCTCGCCTTAGCGCCGCGCGCATTCGTTTGATAACTTTGCAACCGCTTCAAGCATGGAGGGCAGGTGGTTTTCAAAAGGAGGCTCTCCCCATCGCGCCACGAACACTTGTCTTGAACATGTGCAACAGCTTCACGGAAAGAGGGCAGGTGGGTTTCAAAATGCTGTTCTCGCCATGGCGCCGCGAATATGTGCCTTAAACTTGTGCGGCCGCTGCACGGATGGAGGGCGGGTTGTTGTCAACATGTGTGTTCGCCTCAGCGCCGCGTACACGCGTCTCAAAGTTTGCAGCAGCAACCCAGGAATAATGTTCTGGCACGATTGGGAAGTGTGAAGACGCAAGTGACACGTTGATCCGCGGCGCTGAAAACCCAGTAACGGTGGGTGCGCCTTCGGTTTATACTGGTCCTCCTCCTCCTCTTCCTCTTCTCCTCCTCCTCCTCCTCCTCATCAGCATTATCGTCCTCGTCCTCTTCCTCAACATCCCTCTCCGGCTCATCCCACCATTCCCTGTTTCCTTGTATCGCTTCCCACTCCTGGTCATCATGCCCATCAAACATCAAACCCCTGCCCTTCACCTTCTCCCTTCTCCTTCAATCCCGCGCCCTCCTAAATAGCCATCCCTGTGGCACCCTCAGAGATGTTGGCAAGGCGGGCTGGGCGTTTCGCTTGAGATTTTCTCACCGCGAACGATCCTGCAGCTGGAGCTTTGCAACAACTTCAAGGACGGAGGGCCGCGAGTTTAAAAAACGCGGTTCTCGTTTCGGCGCCGCGCACACATCTGAAAAATGCGCAGCCGCTTCAGGGATGGAGGGCGGAGGGCGCCTCCTCTTCAAACACTGTGGCTCTCGCCCTGGTGCCGCGCAGCTTCGTCCTCAAAGGTTGCATGCGCTCCAAAGACGGAAGGCGGCGCCGTTTCAAAATGTCGCTCTCGCGGAAAAGCCGCGCAAATTCGCCGTTCAACTTGCAACAAATTCGATGGCTTGTAAAGTTGGGGTCCCATGAACGGTGTCTTGGCAAGATCTTGGATTGCCCGGACGCAACAACCGCATCGATTCGCACCGCTGGAGTTCCACGAACGGCGTTCTGGCGCCATCTGAGGATCACAGGACGCAACTGTCAAGTTGAATCGCAGCATTGAAACCCAAACAATTGAAATCGAGTTCGGTCCAAGATTCCCAGACAGTTGTCTTTCAATGGGGCATTTCCAGCACTTGCAAGAAATTCCATCAGCCCTTCAGGGCGGAAATGGTCTAGGGTGTTTTGTCTTCCATCTGCCCCACTTCCCCTTCGGTGTACCCCTCCCCCGACCCCTTCCCTGGACCTAGACGGGGGGTCCCGCGAAATGGAATGTTGTTTCGTCCGCTTTTGTTTCATCCGCTTCTGTTGCGTCCGCTTTTGTTTCGTCCTAGTTCATCCGGTTTTGCTTCGTCCACTTTTGCTTCGTCCGCCTTTGTTTCGTCCGCTTTTGTTTCGTCTGCTCTTGTCTTGCGCGAGTCGCGTGGAAGCTGGGGGGATCAAAACCGGATGAATCAAAACCAGGCGAATGATAACCGGATGGATGAATTCAAACTGGGCGGCAAATTAAAAACGGATGAATTCAAACCGGATGAAATAAGACCGGATGAATTAAAACCGGATGCACTGGATGAATAAAAACTGGAGTATGAATTTATACGGGCGCATTAAAACCGGATGGATTTAATCGGGCGAATTAACGCCGGATGAATTAAACTGGGTGAATTCAAGCTGGATGAATTTAAACCGGATGAATTTAAACGGACGAATTGAAATCTGATGAAATTAAGTGGGCGAAATAAAACTGGAGGAAAAAAGACCAGGTGAGGTAAACCGGATGAGTGTAAACAGGGCGAATTAAAGCCAGATGTCTTTGAATAATTGGTGCGCGTGATAAGTTTTTGAATGATTGGGCTGCTCAATAGGTGTGTTATTTATCTTTGGTTAAGTAGTTGTCGCGATAAACAAAGCGTTCTACTTGGGCATCACGAGGGGATCGATCCGCCAGGGGTGATAACGGCCCTGGGAAAAACCTCGACCCGGGGAAACGAGCTCAACCCGGGGTACGGGAGCGCGAACCCCAGAACGAAAAAGCGCTTCCCACGGAAACCGAACCACGAAGTCGGGAACCGCGGGACGCGCCGAACCCGGAAAATACAGATGGTGCGAGGCGTGGAAGGAGAGGGCGAGGATGTTCACCTCAGACATCCTTGCAATTCGTGGCTCCGAGATGCTGCGCGCGAGGGGCTCTGGCTGGTGTCGCCTGAGATATCCTCGAAACTCTGGGCTCCTTGAAAATGTGCGCGAGGTAGTCCAAGAGGTGGTGGAGAGGGGGGAGGAGGGAGGAGGGGGAGGAGGAGGAGGAGGAGGAGGAGGAGGAGGAAGAGGAGGAGGTGGGAAGGAGGAGAGGAGAGGAGGAGGAGGAGGAGGAGGAGAGGAGGAGGAGGAGGGGAGGGGGTGGAGGGAGGAGCTGTACATTGCATTACAGTGAGGAAGGGGGAGGGGGAGGAGGGGAGGGGAGGAGGGAGGAAGGGGGAAAGGGGAGGGAGGATCGAGGGAGGAGGGAGGAGGGGGAGGGAGAAGGACGAGGAGGAGGATAGGATAGTGGTTTTGTTCGCCTCCCTGGCCCTCGTTGTCGTCGTCGTGGCATCATGTTTTTTGCTCGGCTCCCATGGCGCTGCCACGTGACGCGACGCATTGCATTGCATTGCGTTGCGTTGATTTGCATTGTATTGGATTGCATCCTGTTGCGTTGCATTGCGTTGCACTGCGTTGCATTTGCATTGCGTTTGCCATACATCGCATTGCAATACATTGCGGGCGAGGGGGAGGACAGGAGGGAGGAGAAGAGAGGAGGTCGGGAGGTCAGGAGGGGGAAGGAGGTCAGGAGGGGGATGGAGGGGAGGGGGAGAAGGGAGGATGGGGAAGGAAGGAGGGAAGAGGAAGGATGGAGGAGGGAGAAGGGAGGAAGAAGGACGAGAAGAATTGGATCGAATTGTTGCTTGCCTCCCTGGCCCTGGTCATCGTCGCCGTCATGTTCGTCGTCGTTCTCGTCGTCGTCCGGGTCGTCGTTGTGGAACAACGGTTTTCTCGGTCCACGCGGCGCTCCCACGTGACGACAAGTGAATATTGTTTATTCCTGCCTCTCATCGTTGCCATGTGACGAGTGGAGTGGCACAGTGCCACGTGACGAAAGGAAAGGAAGATTTCCCAACCATCCTGTGGTGCTGGGTCCTCGTTTTGAAGAAACGGTTCCCGCGTTCTTCTCCTCTCCTTCCGACTCCTCACCATCCTCCCTGCGCTTCACCCACCCAGTACAGCGCTTCGTGGCGCCATAGGGAGCCATACCGAAGGTCCCCACCGAAGGTCCCACCCAATACAGCGTTTTGAGCCCCCTCCTCCCTCCTCCCTGCGCGTAACCCACCCCGTACAGCGCTTCGTGGCCCCATAGGGAGCCCCACCGAAGGTCCCAGTGGGACCGCCCGCATGCGTCCCGCTTACCCAGGCAGCGTTGCGTGGCCCCCTCCCCCAAAACTTGGCACTTTCACCCGCCCAGGACCACGTTTCGTGGCCCCACAGGGAGTTCCACCGAAGCCCCCAGTGGGACCGCCCGCATGCATCCCACACACCCAGTTTGGCATTTTCACCCACCCAGTACATCGCTTTGTGGCCCCATAAGGAGTTGAGGAGGAGCGTGAATCGGGGGAGCTCCGGACAGTGCGGTGACTTTAACCTGGCCAGTGCCCCCAAGGAAGCCCAAAGACTTTTAGTGCAAGTGAAATTCGTGACACTTTCGTTGCTGCGTGTTCGCTGCCGTGCGGTGGGGCGCGTGAGGTATAGCATAGCACGGAGAGATATCTGCCCCCATTCTGGTGTGTAGGCATGAATAAGCATCTCGTAGCGTGTGCGCACGTGCACTTTCAAGCATCAGTAAGCTTCCCACGAGCCGAAACGGACAACGCGGGAACCGACAGTAGAACAGGATGTCCTCATAAGCATTGGATGTCCTCATAAGCACTGGGCATGTCTTTTGCTTCCAGTGTGTTGCATCGTTTTTTAGAGCCAAGAAGTGTGTGGCAACGCCGCCTCCTGGCAGCGGATGCTGCCGACCGGGTATGGCAACGCCCCGGTCGCAGGATTCATCTCCGGAACTGTTTGGCTCAAGATGCGGAGTCTGGAGGAGAAAAACTTTCCTGCCCCAGGCGTGGTGAAGCGGAGGGCGGAACCTCAGCGGCAACGCAGGCTCCTCTCCTCCGCCTAGCCACGTCAGTGGACACCCTCTTACGTTCGCACCTCCGCTACCCTCACAATCCTAATACTCGACGTCCATTCCCCATCCCGCCAGCATTGGCACTTCATATTCTCAAGCTCCTGAGCGAGGGGACGGAGGTATCGGAGTTGGTGGAACTCGTGAAGATCACGGTGGGCCCGACCAGCCAGACCAGAAGCAATGAACAGAAGAAACGAACCCTTGGGGTGGACAATACCATGCGCACTTCCCAGTGGGCGACCACGAGGCGCTCACAAGGGCGCCCCTTCCCTCCCTCAGCCCTCCCCCCCAACCCCTCGCCCCCCTTCCGCAGCCCCCCATCGGCCTCCCTCGGCCATTCCTCCCCCGAAGGGGGGGGTGAGAGAGCTCGCGGTCCTGGCGGCAGCGGCCCAGTTCGGCCGTAAGACGCTCGCACTGGCGCGCGGCCAGCTCCTGCGCGACCGTCGCCGCCGTCCTCGACGTCGCCGTCGTCGTCGCCGCCGCAACCGTCGACGTTGTCGTGGTCGCCGTCGCCGACGTCGACGTTAGCGTCGCTGGCGAGGGCCGCGTCGCCGTCGACGTTGTCGTCGCCGTGGCCGACGTCGGCGTCACCGGCGCGGAAGTCGGCGCCGGCGTCGGCGTCGGCGTCGCCGTCGGCGGCGGCGGCGTCATCGTCCTCATCTTCGCCGTCGCCCTCATCTTCGCCGTCGCTGGCGCTGGCGGCGGCCTCGGAGGCGGAAAAGGAGAGGGAGGGAGAGGATGAGGAGAAGTCAAGCTCCCATGTCAAAAAACTCAAGTTCTGAAGCTGCCCGCGCCTCACGGAACCCGAACGCGACTTCTCAGCGCTTGCCCATAGAGGCGTCACGGTTGGTCATGTGGTACTGCCTGGCTGGGGGCAGGTTGGCGAACGTCTTCAGCTCCGACTTCTCCATGTATTTCGCGTACAGCGTCTTCACCTTGTCCTTCTGCCCGTCCGCGGCGGCATCCAGGAGGTCCTCGGAGATCTCGGTCTGCCCGGCGAAGTCCTTGGGCTGGTTGCGCCAGTACGTGTTGAGCATCTTGAACTTGTTCTCCTTGGCCAAGACCGCCTTCATGTCGCCAGCATCAACGGCGCTCTGCAGTTTGATGATGGCCGGGCCATACCTCGGAGGAAAAGGAAGCGGGGTCCATGGCCAAGACTGAGCGTAGAAACGTCGGTGCCAATCCTGGTCACCGTCCATCTTGGTCATGGCCACAAGTTGACGAATCGACGACAAACTTGCACAATAACAAATCAAGCGCAAAGTCGAACCGGATCCTGGCAAGCTGGATCGGAGAAAAGTCGGATCAGTTGGACAAGTCGAATCGTTAACTTTGCAGGTTCGCTCTGAACGGGGTCGAGCCAGATCGATCGAATCAGAACGAGCACTGGCGGGTCAGCCCTGCAAATCGCCAACGGCAGGCACGGACCACGGCCAAGACAGGCGCCAACGAGGCCCCACGACGTCTTGGCCATGGTCATCGTCGTGCTCCCTCCCTCGAGAGCGCCTCTTCATGCACGTCACGGGCTCGCCCTGGAAGTCCGCCAGCGCCGCCTCCGGGGGGGCAGAAAGGGTACCGACACGGCCGCTCCCCGGACCTCTCCCGGGGTGCGCTCTGATCGGACGTTCAGGGGGAAGGCCACCGTGGCGACGAGGGCGTCCCAGGAGGCCCAAAAGGCGAAAACGAAGAAGGACGGCGGTCTCGGTACCTTTTCCTCCTCTGACTTGTCCTCGATGTCCTCCTCCCCTCCGCTATCGGATTATCTCTCTGCTCTCTGGCGGCTGGTCGGGGCGATCTGGGCACCCACGGAGCGCCCTCGTCGAGGCGCAGGTACCAGAACGCACCCCGAGGCTGGAAAACAGCCGAGAACCGACGAAGACGCCTGAAAACCTCGAACCTGGAAACTCGATCGTGGGCGCAAAGCATATCCGCATTCGCGGCCTCGCGTGCTGGGCCCCTGGGCCGCGACTCCGCGGACACGAGGCGTCTGCTCGCGGATGCCCCGCACGGAGCGTATCCGTGCGACCTGGCATCCGCGGGATCGCGCCCCAGAATTCAGACCGTGTCAGGGGCAACAATGGTTTTTAACAGCTCATATGGGGGAACATCGAACTGGCATTAGCGATACATAGCCGATAAATGTACGATAGGCCCCCGATAGCACATCCACGCGGTCCTGGGCGGGGTAGGCTATCGGGCTCCTGGCGGCGATGAATAGGCGATTGCGGGGTGATGCGTCCCGCCTGAGTCGATCCCCCCCCTCGTTGCCCCTGACCGCGAGGGCACGGATACGGATATGTTCGCCGCTCGTGACTCGACCTTCGACCTTCACTCAACTAGGCGACGACCAGAAACGGGCATTGCGCGAGATGACAACAGCGACCCTACGCCGCAGCTTACGCGGGCCGCCGGCGCAGCACGCCACAGTGGAAACGAGGGCGCTCACGCGCGACCTTACGCGCGCCGATGTCGGTGAAGACGAACCCGGGGAAGCCCAGGAGGTGCCGGTACCGCAACTCACTGGAGACATCTCCCGGGGCGCGCTCCGACCAGGACGCCGAGGCAAAGCCAGGGGTGGCGACGAGGGCCTCCCAGGAGGCCCAAGAAAAGAGGGGAGCAAGCGAGCGAGGGGTAGCGGCATCTGGGTACCTCTTCCTCCTCTGAGGATCGGCTCTCTGTCGTCGCTCATCTGACTACCTACCAGACCACCCCAACCCAGCCCGAAGACCCGAATCTGACCCGAATTTCGGGTTGGGTGGGGTACGGGCTCCATGTGTTTTTCCATGTTCCCCGACCCCCCCCCTCCACTGGAAATGGAAGGAAAACTGAGGCCTTCGGGACGGGTTGGGGTCGTTTGGTGGGCGGTGATCATCTGAGCCTCGGCACCGAGCGCCGCGGCCGCTGCCGCGGCGGCGCCCTGGACCAGGTCGCGCCGGCCCCGCGCGGCTGGCGCCAGGAAGGCCGGCGCCAGGCACAGCAGGGCCGCGTGGGCCGCCAGGGCCAGCGCGCACGCGGGCAGCAGCCTCGCCATGTGGTCTGCGGGTGCCCAGCGCTGCTGGAAGCGGTCCCGGCCCAGCCCAGGTCTCCGTACGGCACGTGTTTTCGTGCCGTTTTTCAGTCTGGCTGGTGCTTCCGCGAACTCGGCCCTCGGGGACCGTTCTCGGGCCCCCTGGAGCCCTCCAAAATGGGTCTGGGGAGAAAGGCTAGTTACCCCCGGGGAAGCAGTCGGGGCCCTTGGGGGCCGCGGATCGAGGGAATCGTGTCGGCGGGTGTCGGGGGAGGTGTGCTCCTGGCTCCTCGCGCCGTCTGGAGGCGCCTCGGGGCCCACTGGGCCTCGTGAGGGGTGCTCCCTCCCTGCGAGGGAGAGCTGGGGTCACGCTGGGAAGGCAGACGACACCCTCCTGAAAAGCACCCGGGCAAGCGAAGCCGCTTGGCAAACGCACCCAGGGACTCGAGCAGGGCATGGCGGTTTCGTAAGCGCCCAGGGCTGCTTCGTAAACACCAATGATGGTGGTCGAGGGGAGGGAGGGAGGGAGGGGAGGGAGGGAGGGAGGGGGGAGGGAGGGAGGGAGGGAGGGAGGGAGGAGGGAGGGAGTGAGGAGGAGGAGGAGGAGGAGGAGGAGGAGGAGGAGGAGGAGGAAGAGGGCCAGGGCCACCTCCGGCAGCACCCGCGAGTGGTGATAGCGCGGGAGGGGGCGGCCGGGCGCGAAAGGGCGCGCGGAAGGCAGCCGGGGCGCGTCCCGAGACAAAACGACTGCGGAGGAGGATCGGGTCGGGCAAAAGGGGGGATAGCAAAGGGGGGGATAGCAAAGGGGGGATAGCAAAGGGGGGGATAGCAAAGGGGGGATAGCAAAGGGGGGATAGCAAAGGGGGCGCCGGGAGAATCAGCTCACGTAGCTGATTTTCCCGGCGCCTCCCGGCGCCGGGAGGCGCCCATGTATCGAGGGACGGGCCCCTCGGTGAGGCGGAAACCAGCTGCATGCAGCAGATTTCGTAACCCCCCCTTTCCCAATCCCCCCCTTTCGCCCGGCCCGAGAGGAGGGGGAGGCAAGGCGAGGCCCTGCCGAGCCCGCTCCCCGTGAACGTATCGCGCACGGGCGGGCCAGCTGGAGGGATGCGACTCTCCTCATCGCCCCGTGACGAGCCGGCCTGGCCTAAGGAAGGGGAGGGGTGGGGGGGGCAGCTTCCCGATGCCCGCCCTCACCTGGTGTGCCTGCGCCTCCTCTCAGATCCAGGCGGGACAGGGCTGTGGGAACCCAGACATGACGGCGTCGTAAAAAAATCAGGACGGGAAATTTTTATTTATTTTCGGCCCTGGGGGGCCCTCGCCGGGCCTCGGGACCGTCAAAAAACGAGTCATG